GTGGTAGTAGTGGTAGTGGTAGTAGTGGTAGTGGTAGTAGTGGTAGTAGTAGTAGTAGTAGTAGTATCAAGTCTCCAAACAACCTAAGTAGGTGAGTCCAGTCTGGTGAGTCAAACATCTCGAAAATCCTTTGGACTAGTTGGAATGTCTTCAGTCTCTCTGATCTCTCGTTTTTCTGGCGCAACCTCAGCATCTGCTAGGTGGAGGGCAGGCATAGCATCTTGCACGACCTGAAACGGACATGCACGGACCCGAACGGGCACATGGGAAGCCTCAAGTGGTGGATGACTAGCCAAAAATCCCCCAAAAGAATGGGTGATAGACCCGGAGAATTGCTTCAAGATCTTCAAGATCCCCGTCAACAATGGCCTGAGTCTCCAGGGGGGCTAGTCCAACTTTGACCGGACTGTGCTTTCTTGGGGATTGCGAAGAGAATTCGACCCAGGTTTCGCTAGTCTGGACCAGTGTTGACTAACAAGCTTGCTTGTACCAGATAACACCCACATGCAGTTTCCTTATTTTGGTTTTAAAGTATTCATCTGCCCAGGAACAAGAATGGTAGTAGGGGCTCCTGGCATCGCTACTAGGAGCAAGGACGCTGCTAGGGGCTCCTGGCCTTACTACTAGTAGTTATCGGAAACAAGAAATAGAAAGAAGTATAGCTCCAGGGTTTCTGAGGTGGTGAAGTTTTTTCTTCCGTAATTGAGTTGTACTTCTGCGCAGGTGATCCAATCATTCAAGAAATTCTAGCAACTGCCTGGCTGTGAACCCTGATCTAGTGATCAACGTACGTAAAGACAGGATCGCTGGTTTCACCCCTCTTTTTCAAGGTTTTGTGCAACTGTGTGATCTCAGCTACAAGGATGCGTCCGCACCTCCTGGAAATCACGGTCCCTGTTCCAATGACATGACGGCGGCTGAGAGTCCGTGTCAGATCGTGATGGATAAGCAGTGGCCTTCTGCTGCCTAGTTTCACGTGAAAAAAGACGGTGCTGTGAACACCTCGCAGCAGTAACCGCCTTCACTCAGCCACCATGTTGATTGGACATCTTCTTGTCAAAGAGCTTAACACTTCACCACCCAATTTGCCGATGTATATAGACCATCCGGGGGAACCTCGACTTCGGTGCAACACGATGTAAGGACGGCCCCCGCCATGCCCCGCACGGAGCCGGACGGAGGATCTCGGCGGATCTCGGCGGATCTCGTCCACCTGGCGAAGGCCATGAGAGGATCTTAGACGTTGCAATTACAACACGTTCCAACGCCAAAGTCCAGGTCGAAGGCCGGAAATGGAGTGATGTTTCACCAATTCTGAGGTGTTTTTTCACCAATGTTGATCCATTTCCAACTAGCACTCAGTAACATCGCTGTCCAAGGACAAAGGCTCTTCCACATCAGTTGTCCAATAACTTAGGGGATCACTGACGGTGGTAGGGCAAGGATATGGTTCCCCAGTTTCTGGCCGTACTATAATATAGTAACACCCAGCCGTCAGCATTTGTTCAGGGCCTCTTCCGCCCCCTAGGCAGCTTTGAGCCTCTCCGATTGTTGGCATCCAAAAGATCCACAAAAGATGCCATCTCCAAGAAGCGGGCATACTAGGATCAGGTCCGAACACAAAGTTACATCATGTTACATCAACACGAATATAAATAAATCTATATCACCCCCCCGGTCGTTTGTTCTTGAACAACGACCTGAAACCGAATTGTTCTCGACTCTTGGGTGCTCGACCAGCGCTCGACCGGCCCTCCACTGCTCCTCGGACCCGCCAGCCGAACCTGTGGAGCACCACGCACACCTCTCCGGGTGAGTCATGTGCGGCGGGCTGTCCCACATCAGACGATCCAAAGACAGCTCGGAGACTCCAGCTGAAAGAAACCGATAATTTACTTTTTATGTATCTACAGTACTCTTGATTTTGTTGGCACGTGTTGGCGCCCTCATGGCTCCCAAAGGGGCGGTTTCGGGACAAGTCCCCAAAAAAGCTCGCCTCCAAAGCTCCTCTCACGTGCTCCAAACCGCCATTCCAAGACCCGGATGCTTTTGGAAAACGACTTCCGCCACACCCATGCCGAACGCCTCTGCCCGCAGATGAGGACATGCTGGGCTCATCCTCGCGGAGTGCATCAATTCGTCCAGAACGGGTCTGTCGCTCGACGCGCCAATTTGAAAGAAAGAAGAACACAAAACACACACGCGTACCAGGACCATCCTGTTTGGGTGTCCAACGGACTACACTGCCTAGGGATCTCCGACAGGTAGAAAAGCCTCGGAGTTCTGAAACGAATTGCCCTAGTGAACTTGTCAGACAAACCACTTGTCATAGAAAAACCCGCAGAAAAGCCGGGGAGTGTCATCAGGAACTCCTATGAAACTATAAGTAGTGGTGATCCTCGAAGAGATCAACATGATGATCGGTGCTTTTGGGATTCAACTGTTCCGTGGTTGCTTCAACTGTTCTGTTCGGGGTATCCATCCACGGAAAATGGGCCTGGCCATTCAAAAGAAAGCAATGACATGCAAGGGGATGCAGTCGTCGTCAAGATCTCACCATATTCTGAGGCATCACCTGAAACTTTCACAGGACACCCCTGGATTTGCACCATCTTTTGACTTTTTCATATATACCATATTATCTCAAAATCCTTTCGCAAAATGCTGCCGAGCGCACACCCGAGGACCGCACAGAGGGCCCACTCCCTTTCGTGACCGCCTCAACGACGACCTCAGCTTGCGTCACCTCAGAGCAGAGCTGAAAAGCTTGCAGCGTTCGCAGCAATGGGTACACCTTCCTCCAACACTCATGGAAGTGGAGAACCCCACAACCAGGCATGGCACACTCTCTGACGCCTTTTCAACCACATCAAGCCTCTCCATGTCTGCACTCGCTAAAATAATCACGGAAGTGGAGTGAAAACCCCGTGTTTGGTATTCGCAAAATCGCCTTCCCAGTGGCCCAGGGGCCATGCCATCCACTGGAGTGCACAACTGAGCTCCACACTGCAGCTATTCTGTTCACGAACTCAAAGCAAGAACAATGTTAACCTACTCGACTCGACTCCTCATCCTAAATAAGTTTCCCAAGTCATCATTCTTTGCAACTCTACATACACCCAAACAGTGAGTAAAACATTAGTGAGTAAAACATTAAAAACATCCCTCCGCACCCGCCACGACCAGCACTTCACCAGGCACCCCACATTCTCCGGCACGTTACGCCGCAGCCAGGCCTCGTGAGGTTGGGACCAGCATTATCATTTGTTGTTTGTCCACTGTTATATCGAATCATATCATATCAGTTCAGAGATATATTGCATCATTAATGAATTATATAAATACGTCTTAAAAAATTGGGCATCTTCCAAAAGTGGTCTTCTTATGTCTTCTTCAGCAGAAAGCCTCCAAATGAAGAGCTGATGCATCTGGTGTTCGCTTGTCACTCAGCCGCGTGCTACAAACTGATCCTCATTGTGGACCATGCTTCGATCCTGGCCAGCTCGGTCAATGTCTGCAAGGCTCGGTCAATGCATCACACCTGCGAAGCAAAACATGGAACTTAAACCGAGAGTATTAAGAAGTTTGTAGACGAGACGAGTGTCTCTTTCAAGGGCCCATTCTTGGATATGGGGTACCAGATGAATCGCCATGGCCCTCAAGCAGCTTGACACCGTCCCTGCTTCCCCCAAGAACTCCATTCTGCCGAGAGGCCGGACGGCTTCCCGACAGGGCATTTCCCACATCACCTGATGCAGCGTTCGTCTCTCAGAGCTTTCTACGTCGAATTCTCCACTGGATTCGGTCTGTGGGTTAAAATCTTGCCCTATCAAACCACTGTAGGTCTGGGGGTCTGTGGGTCCACTGGATTCGGTCTGTGGGTTGACATCCATCAATGATAGACATCTGTTCATTTTCAGGTTCACTGCGGTCCTCAGTCTTTCGCCGTCGTATTACACCGATCGAGAGTTGTACGCGTATGCGAAGGCAACAACAAAAAGACTCACTCTGCCCGATGGCCCTTTGTCGGTGGCTCTATCCTCCGACGGTTTACCTTAAGAAGGTGGCCCATTTCAAACGGATGTCAATGATCTGCCACAGATTCAATCATCTCAACACATCTCAACATAATGTGTTCACCTCTGCACAAGTCATATTTGTTCCTTTGAAGACTCTCTGTGCCTCCCTTGGCGTCAGCTTCTACACTTGCAGGCCGATCAAATTGGCCTGTGATTTATGATGTTGTGTTCTTATCGTGTTCTTCCCACAAACAAACCAAACAAATCATGGTCTCAAGTCCTTCCTCTGATGGGATCTAACCTTCGATCCTTTTGCGTGCCTGTCACACACTTCCTCACCACCACTGCAGTCCACCGGTCTTTCTCGGCGCCTTTGAAGTGGTAGGTGCGAACCGTTGGATATCCCGCGATCTGGATCCTCAGGATGCGCACCCTGGGTCGTGGAACTGCCCCCCCCGGATTTGTCATGAAAACATTCACACCCGAACAACTGAGGGTCATGTCATAGTTTGTCGTAGTTGCTTCAAGGGGAATGCGAACTATACAACTGAATTGCATCTGATTCATCTGATGATCTGATGCTTCTGGCTTTTGTGGTCTTGGTGCGTTGTGGGAGGACTCGTCCTCGTCACCCCAAAACGATCGACAACAAGGAACTCATCAATCTTGCCTTGCTTCCTCTTTCTTGAGAAGATCCAATTGATATCCCATCATATCCCGTCTTTATATGATGTCCTTTCCTGCTGCGATGTTCTTTATGCTTGAAAAGTGGAATCCCAAGCGAATCCCATGTCTTCGCCGTCCTCCGGCACCAGCCCGGCACCTGCCCCGCCTTGTTGTCCCGCCGTTCGCTCGCGAAAGCGCGGGCAGGTCCCTTCGTGGCACCGAGGCTCTTGGTACAAAGCGCCATGAAATCCGGGCAGTTCACCTCGGCCAGCCAGGCTTCGCCACAGGTGGCGTCCACCCCACCGACGGCGGGCTGGCCATCGACGGAATGGGGGAGCGGCCCAAACGGCCGTGCGCAAGCGCGAGCGAAAGCGCGAAGCATCCATGGCTCTTGGGATGTTGATCCGGTCCCCCCAAAAACTGGGTGCCGACAGTGTCACAGGGTGTTCAGAGTCTTGCCACATAATCCATGGTCGAATCCCATAAGACACAGAGGTCACAGAGGTCACAGGTCATGTCGCTTCGAGAAGTTCCTTCCAAGTCCGCTGTGACACCTGTGATGACTGGCCCAAGACACACCAAGACACCGAGGCACGCCACCTTGGGCCTCCAAGAACTGGCTTAGGAGCGCTCATATTTGGGCCACCAGGGAGCTAGGTACCAGGACCATCCTGGAGCTGGTTGTGGCTGGACTAGGGGGCTGGCGGCTGGACTAGGGATCTCCAAACAAGACATCCAGCTGCTGGATGCTCCAAGTATGAGCTTGTCGCACACAATACATTAAGACAAAATACATTGCTTTTTGTATCAAACCACCCTAGGGCTTCCTATGACCTCACGTTTTGCCACCTGCCACCCACGTGCACCGAGCCGCTGCTCCGAAGCTCACCTCACCATCGTGGCGTGGAAAAAACCGACTGACGACGACCCCCGTTGGCGGGACGTGGAGGGACGTGTCGGTGTCGGCTCATCCGTTTTCAATAGAAAATGCTCTCACGAAGAATGGTTTTGTTGGTCTTTCAAAACGTTGGTAGTTTTTGTTACTGTACGTTCTTTTGTGACTCACCCGAGATGTCTATGCTGACTCAAATCCAGGCAAGGACCTCGGTTGGGAGGACCTGTAGGGGGCTGGTCATTGTGGATTTGCTCACAGAACTGGAAAAAGAACAGATTTCCCAGAAGGGGGTTCACCCATGGGGAAAACAACACAAATGGTGCTAAGCAAAACCGCTTTCCAGGAAGACCTGAAGAACAACCAAACCATGCGCAGAGTTCCTCTGCAGAGTTTCTGCATGGTCGGCAACACTTGCAAAAGATCGCAAAAGTAGATTCACTGCTGATGGTGGAGAGTTCTGCTGCACCAGGAGTGAGACAAGAATGAGCCCTTCAAATATCGCGGTTGGGGAAACTGGGGAGGCTCAAATGTTCTTCCATGAGCACTCTGTAGGATACCGAATGGGTGTTGGAGAAATGGGTTCTCAAATATACTATGGCGCTGATGTTCGAGACTTTTCTCCAGGACAAGGGTGCCCAAAGATGACAGAGGACTTGCACCATCTTATACCTTACTGTGGAAATCTGTGGAACCCATTTCTATGGTGAACGGACTATGTGACTATGTCAATATGCATGTTGCATCCACCTAGCGGTACTAGAGAACTGTGCTGCAGGAGGGTCGACAGAGTGGGCCATTGATCTTGTAGGCTGCATTGCTTCATCGTCGCGTGGCACGCTGGTGTGCTGACCCTGTCATCAGTTGGAGTATGTATGTATACACTGTACACATGTCAGTGGGTCGAAAGCTGTAGCCCAACACCATGTAGGTTGACCTTTTGGGTCTAGTCTGTTCAGAACTGGGGTGGTCAATCAAGTGACCCCAGTGTTGACCCACAGCCAATATGTACACCCTCGGTCTGGCGTCTGGCGATGGTGCACGGCGAGACAGTCTGAGCGACCAGACCGGCCCTTGATGCAAAGGCGAGGTCTTCTGGGCAATCCTGGCGGTCGGACCCCCTGGGAAGATCGGATCAGTGGAAGAGCCATTGACCGCCAGGAAGAGCCCCCCTGAGAACGATGTAGATCTGCAATACAGGAGTAAGAGCCCCGCAGTAAGGGGCTCAGGATCTGCAATACAGGATTGCATTTACATTGCTTTAAGATGCTTTAAGTGTATGACACTGATCATCCTGGTGTAAGAGCCCCCCTGCACCCTTAGATAGATGGATTACACTCCCTGAAATATTCATGGGCCAACGTGGATGGCATGACCCCGATCTCGGATGACCATGAGTCTTCCGAATACCAAACAGGTGGTTTCACTCCACACTTCCATGATGATTTCAGGGAGTGTATCTCTCCATATCACTCCTCATATCTCACCCTAGGCTGTGCCCTATTTCGCTGCATCAACCTGCAAGTAGGAAACACATCAACCGCCGTTGATGGACTGCCGAGATCAGACCCTTCTCTGCGCAGCTGACGCAAAGATGCGCAAACACCAACGTCCACATCTCAAAGATCTGGGCGCAAGGAAACCTGTCATGTCATGGCGCTAGTGTTTATCGGCGTCCAAGATCAGGAAACACCACACATGGAATGCCGAAATTCCGATACAGTAAGGTGGGTAACTACATTGTATGCGCTACGGAAAATGGGATTGCTTTTCTTCTAGGAAGACTTGTGCATTGGCTATCAACAATAGATCGTCGCGTCATCGTCTGACCCGGTTCAAGTCACCTGGGCAATGTAGTGTGCTCATGTGATTCCTTCCAGATACTTGCAGGACACAAAGAAGCCTCAATTACAAGCTCAAGAAGCTTTTCACTTTTTTGCCCTTTTACATTTCCCTAGAAATCTCAAAACACTTGGGGATCGGTCGACTTTCCTCTCCAAAGTGGTTTCCATGTCGGGTCTCCGGGTCTCCGGTCGCCGCTTCGAACGAACGAGCGCGTGTCGCTGCATCCCGTCCTTTCGAAGGTGGGTGCATAGTGGTGGCAGTGAGGGCACCAGTCCGCATAGTACATGACCACCCATGGGCTCCTCACCGTTTCGCCAAGTACGAAAGAAACATGGGCTCCTGATTGTGACCTCATCACCACTCTCAATGGAAAAAGCCGCTGCTTCTGATACAAGTGACTGCCAAAGACTCTCATGAGTCATGGGCAATGCACACATAAAGGAATGCATAATCGCACGATACTGAGATGCTCAAGCTCATGCATTGAGTCCCACTGAACTGTGCAAGGGAAAAACAGGAATCATAAGTTCATCCTGGATTGCCTGTGGTCATGTCACTCACCCTGCAAAACGAAGGGTTTCGCTCATGAAACTTGGTCCGCAGTTACACATAGTGTGACTGGCCGTCCTCGCATTGGCCACCTCACCTGCAATCTTGGTGTTATCCAGCCTTGGACACCGGGCTACTAGGAGCAAGGACGCTACGTTCGGGGCGCTTGGACACCGGCCCCCCAAGAACGGCCACGAGGGCCGCATCGGCTTAGCCGTTGCATCTTAGCCGGCATTCGAGCTCCAAAACGAAATAGGGATCAACATCGTGTTTTCCCTTGAAACATTGTGTTTCTATACATGCCCTACGTGTTCTTCGGTTTTGAAGCCTAAGGTACACACACTCTAAGTGTTCATTCAAGCTAGCTTCTGGCAAATGGCATAGCTTCTTGACGTCTGGACAAGCTCATTCCTGGCCTCCAACAGACTGCTGAGAGCTTCCTCCCATCTACAAAACACGCCACCCGTCTACCGCTGGGCGCTTGCCGATGTTGAATGGGTTGAACAAGCCAAAGCCAATGTGTTTGGTTGTTCAAACACCCGAGACGAGCATGGCCCCCTCGTGTGGTGCGGGATGGCCTCTTGTGGCATACTAGTACCTTCGAACCAAAAAATGCCTCCTCCTCTCTGCTCAGAAGGAAGACGGAAACATGCCATCGAAAGGTGTTTAGTGCCCCCAAAAAAATGGACAGAGGCTCAGGATCTGCAATAGAGTGGTTTCAGAGTAGATGGCACAAACTCAAACATGTGTGTATATATAGTAACAAGAAGCTAGTAGAAACAAGGGCATCGCTACTAGTAACAAGTGCCTTACTAGTAGTAACAAGAAGCTAGTAGAAACAATGGGGTCCACCTTTCGGGGATTGTGCCATCTACTCTGAACCTTTCAAGGCTTGCTGTCATGCCAGGCAGCTCGTAGACATTCCTGAGATGGGAATGTCAAGTGCTTCGACGAAGACGTTGCGCCCCCAAAGTTTGGACCAAACGACAGGACCTTCCTAGTGACCTTTTGAGATCTCAGAATGAGGTCACTTAGGTTTTGGAAAAGTGGAAGGTCCTGACACATACAACTATACCGTATACCTATATGTGCACTGCTAAGGTGTGACTTCTTGGGATGGTTTGGAGGCCGAATTGATGTTGGTACCTCAAAATCATGTTGCACCTTTGGGGTGTGCCAAGTACATTCAGAACCTGGGTATTTGGGGGGCAGGTTTTGGCAAGAAACGCGGTATTGCAGAGAGTGTGCTGTTTACATAATGATGGGCAAGTCACAAGCAAAGATCAGCAAAGAATATGCCCATGAGCCCTGACATGAACAAATACGCCAATGCAGTGCTTACAGTTGCTACAAATTCCTGTGCTAGCTTTATAACCTCGGGTGCCCACATGCTCAAATCACTTCCCAGCTTCTTGGACGCGCGAAACAACTTCCCGGCCAGCGCTGGCACAATGAGGAGCGCCTCAATGGCTTTCAGCAGTTCCCATGACGCTTCTCAAACACAAACCACAAACACAATCGTGGCCGTGAATGTATACAGTGGGGTTGTGTTTTTCAATAGGGAGACCCCCAACCACAATGGAGGTCTCTCTTATTATACACGATCATATAGTATGTATATATATATATAGCTGTGGGTCAAAACCCCGTTAACCCTGGTTGACCCCGGGTCAAATGACCCGGGTCAAATGACCAGATTCACACCTCAACCGAACCCGTGCTTTTGACGACACGTCGGGAACGCTTCCCCAGAAACTGATCCGGACGATTTCGTCGGCGTCCAACCTGGTGACTCCCACCGTGCGGTGCATCCTGGTCCAGATCAGTTCATTCCTGGGAGGCCAAAAAAGAAGGTGTCCCAATGTCCCAAAGTCCCAATGAGAGCGGACATGTTTGACATGTTTCGGACCACGGAACGTGGTATCCAATCGGTATCCGAAGAAAAAAGAACCTTCACTTTCCGGTGCAGAAAACACGAGTTTTGCGCACCCTTTAAAAGTCTAAGTGGCCCTGGAAAGCCGTGGAAAAAAAAAACACTGCGAGCACTGCTTCTGCCACATCCAGCTAAGCTCATCACGAGTCTGGCATACATACCATGGCGAGAGGGGTGCTCGCTCACCGCGCTAAATGTTGGTAATGAATCATTGGTCAAACACCACATGCGGCTGCTGAGTTTCGGGTGGGTGTGTAAAAATGTCCTTGGAAAATGAAGAAAGTTGCTGGTAGCTGGAAGCCTTTGTGAAAAGAGACATGAAAACCATCCTCCTAGAAGTCCATTTGCTCCATTCAGCTCCTCCAACCAGAGTGGGAGTTCACTCTGGTGCTCTGGTGCTCATATGCCGTGCTCTGGTGCTTTGCTGTGGCATGACACATATGTTGATTTATCGGCTGTGCCGACTTCCTGTTCCAGCTACCAGCTACCAGCAGAAGAAGCGCAGCAGAACAAGGTGCAGCGTCTAAGAATGAAGCGTCAAAACATGATACCTTCTGGCCACTCAGGACGAAACACTTGGGGATGTATTGAATTAGGGGGAACCAGAGAACCACCCACACTAGTGGGTTTTATTTAGTCAGTCAAGGGTGTCATTGAAACGACCGGAGATCTGGAGAATGAAGTGCCAGAAATGTGTGTGTGTGTGTGTGTATCAAAATCAGTAGACATCCCAGTCTGCCATCCAAAACCTAACCAGGGCCGGGGTCTCCCTATTCTAATTCACACCCAAATATGGCTCTGGGTCAAAACCCAGAGCCCGTTTCACCCTGGTAGGGTGACCTCCCTGCTCGCCAGTTCATGTTCTGAACGTCAACCAGGGTCTCCCAGTCGGAAAGAACGATTCGGCAACTCCCCTTCACAGCTCCCTGAATGGCCGCCGCCACTTCGGCCCCCGAACCCACTCCTGCCCTCCACGTGCCGCGACACCGGCGACGTGCCGCGGGAGCCTGGCGAAGGGACCGCGAAACGCTGGGGACCGGTGGATCCGCGGTCGCGAAGGGCGGTGTTATGCACCGGAGACCTGTGGCGACCCGGGGAGCCGGAGCAACGAAGGAAAAAAGGCGGGCCACATCAAGTTCCCAAGTGTGGATGTGCAGTGCAACAAAAGAAAAAGAAACAGTAAAAAACAAAATCGTCCATGATCTGTCAGCAGACAAAAAGCCAGAAGGAAGATCAACAACGAAATCAGCAAAAACAAAAAAAGGATGTCCAGGATCGCGGCTGAGACGTATCTTTCTTGAGGGGATCAATTCTGATCATTATATGTGCACAAATGATAAGTTCTTCTGATCTGCAGAAACGGAAAAATCCTTCCCGGAAGCAATGGAAGTGAACACATACAGTAATTGAGAGATTGTTGACTTTACCTTGTCCGACTATGCAATGTGCGTTGACTCTCTTTTTTCGGGTGCACGTAGTGCCGAAGTTTCTGGTTAAAGCTAGGCCCTAGCCTAGCAACTCAGGTGCAGGACTAGGTGCAGGATATTTTGCAGCGCATGTGTATCCCTGCTGCTGCTGCTGCTGCTGCTGGTGGTGATCAAGTTGTTTACCGGCATGGAGTCTCAAAAACGAGGCACCTGCTCTCCCTCCAATGATCATACGGAGAAATCCATCAGTGTCCATCAGAGTCAGGATGATGAATTACGCAGATGATTATGTTAAGGGTTTCTCTGCTCTTTGGATCGATCCCGAAATATCCTGAGCAAAAGAGAGAAAAGTACTATATACTTGCATGAGAATGAAATGAGGTGATTAAAAGAAACATCTGTTTGTCTCAACATGGTCACCAAACATGTGTGCATCGACGTGCATCGTCGTCTCGTTTGGGACTTCTCAGACTTCTCTATCTCAGCTCCCCTGCCTGGCCGTCTGGCCGACAAGACCTGGTTCATTCGGGCCGGTTTGGCCCAAGCCGAGGCGAAGAGATGAACAGCCATGAAGTGCCCCAGGGATGTTCACCTTCCATGCCCTATAGGCCCTAAACCTCCAAGTATATTTTTTCAGGTCTGTAGACCCTCCTGGCACCCGACCTTGATCAGAGGATGGGCTATAGTGCCATAGGCCATTATTTTCCGCTGGGGACGCTTGCTGGGCCAACCTCATACCATGTATCACCGTGAAGCTCTGGGAGGTGAAGAAGATGTTACTTTGCACATGTGGGGGGTGTATTTAGATAGAGAGACCTCCTAAAGACCTCCTGGAAGAAGAGATATAGAATATTATATAGACCAAAACCATCCAAAACCCATTGTTTTCCGGATCTCCCCCTGTGATGTCGAGTTGGTCCGAGACCCTTTGAAACGCATTCGTCGGACCCGAAGAACCGCACGGATCCACCGTGCCGCGACGAACGGTCCATTCGCTTCATCGAAAGGGCCTCATTCACCGGGAAGGCGAAGGTCACCTGAAGGTTCACCGGATGATGCACAAGAGAGAATGTATTAATAGTTCGCTAATAGTATATGAAAGTATACATGATTTTAGATGTTGCCTCACCTACCCAAGAAAGCTAGTGAGCGTGGAACACTTTCTATAGCTTGTTGGCTTTCCTTTGACTGGGAAACATGGATCCGACATCTCCACCCTCCAAGGCCAGTTTGGTTCTGGTTGAAAAAAAGAAAGAAAGAAATCTTATATATATATATATTTCAAAAAACAATAGCAAAGAACACTGCCAAAAAAAAGCACATCCAAGTAGCAAGGTTATCCTTGGCCCTTGGTCTTCACATTTGAGCATGCCTTGAGGCAAACGGCCCCTGCACCTTTTGAGATTCCCCCCCACCCCGGAAGTCGTTCGCTGCTGAAAAAACAGGAGACCACCACGGATTCAACACGTCCATCTGCGAGCCTCGTTGTTCGAGGGACAGCGATAAAAACTATTGGCCTGGCATTGGCATCCAAGAATAAGAGCTGTCGGGTATGTCATGATGATCATGATCATGACAACGACAGTGATTGTTATGCTGATGATGATGATGATGATGACAACGACGACGACGACGACAACGACGGTGATATATTTGTTCTTGTAGATTGTGAGTAGGGTCCCCAAAAACAATCGTCCTAGCTAACCGCAAGTGGAAGGAGGGCACCCTTTCCATCAACACAGTCCCGCAGTCCCCGTCCAATGAGGGAACCCGGTGACTTCTGCGGATCGTTTACAGTAGGTCTATGGTGACTCCTGGGCGAAAATCCGGTGCTGTTCACAGTTGCGTTCAAATTGCTCAAGGAGGCATTCCACAGTTTCAATCTGTGTTTCCAGTGCTCAACCAAGTCCAAACATTGCTGCGAATATATATATATATATAATGTTTATGTGCTTCTATTTTTCAGTCATTACTATAATGCGGAATCTATATGCATGATTCTGTATGAGCAACGTGCAAAACCTATTATGTGTTGTAATGCGCACTCTTCCCAATGTTATCGTTTTTTTCTGTGAACCTTATCGTTCCTGAGGGTTTGGACACACCTAACAACATGTACTAAAACCTTATTGCTTTTTGTGAACCTTATCGTTCCTGAAGGCTTCCTTCACTTGACTCACTTAGTCTTCACTGTAGTGATGCTGCCTTCATCGGAGGTTTTGGCAGTTGCTCATATATTCACAAAGTGTACGCAATGGAATCCCAAGCCGACCTGTTCATTTGTCTGTCACTGTGTCATCACTTTCCGAACAACCTGAAAATCTGACTCGGCAGCATCTATCCCGGCTGTCGAAACCGCAGCAAATCGAGTCAGTTGCACCCTGGAGGTTGCCATCGATCGGTCGCAGATCCTCAGCCGATCTCGACACAGCCAGACCCCCGTTGGGAAGTGGACCTCGATGCGAGTATCATGGCATGGCATTATCTGGTTACGACTTGCGTGTTCCCTCTACCATCCTCTACCCACTTTTGGGTCCACAGTGGACGTCTTCCCAGCAGGAATTCCTAGGAAAGGTACATTTCGTTTGGACTCGAAAGGGTTGCGATGACCAGCCCAGTGAGAATGACGGCGATCACAAAGTAAAATATTATCCGTCCAACTTCAACACTAGGATGGAAGAAAAAACAATCTCTCATGGATTCCACACACAAAAAACATATATATTATAACACATATCGTATATGTAATATTTATAGAGAGCGGATTGCGCTGGGGGGTGGGTTTTTAATTCATAGGTTTTTTAATGATTTCTAGCTTATTGTTTGTTAATGTACAGATGTGAGGCATTTCCAGATGATTGGAAGCAGATGATGCAGTTGCAAGATGTGTTTCTACTTTCTTTTGTCAGAGCCAGCATGACAGTAAAGAAGATGATTTTTGGAAGAATGCATAAGGATACTACCACAGTCAAATCATCTGCTGCAGACAATGCAAGCAAGGAGTTGGCGCTAAGACATCTCATTTTTCCGCGCTAGTTCTGTTCCAAAATCTAGTTCTAGCAAGCATATGCTTTGCTTACCTTAGACACAGCTTTCTTGAACTTGTTCAAGTAGCTGGCCTTGTTTTCAGCCACAGCTTGGTTGTGCAATTTGGAAAAGTACAGCACCTTAAAAGTGTGGCGAATTGCACGTGCCTCATTCAAAATCCGTGCATAATTGCGAAACCAAGAGAAAACTTGTTCGCAAGCCGACGTATTTGTCTTCGCAAATCGCCGAGACAAACGCTTGACGTAGAGTGGATTGTACACGCAAGTCTTCTTGTGCCTGTGGGCGTGGAACTTGTCAAGGCTCCAATATTTGATTTGGGAGAGGGACTTCTTACTTGCATGAGTCGGTGCGAAACCACAGACACGGTCCATGATGAATCCATTGACTTTCTGGTACAGAGGCAAGACTTTCTCCAACGACTTCTGGACCACTGGGTTGTTCTCCGGCTTGTCCATGGCAACCACACAAAGAATTCGTTGATCCTGCGGGTTGACTAGCATGAACCATCCATGCCCAAAGGGTTTCAAAGAACCGTCTTTCCGAGGTCGTCCTGCATGTGTGGTAGTTTCGCCACATTTGATGTGGACCTTCGAGTGACCATCTCCGACAAGTTCAGTCACTGATGCCCTCTTTTTGGGTGGGAAAGCAACCTTGTGCACATAGTCATCATACTTGCGGAGCGCAGCCTCTGAGATTTCATCTCCAATGACAATGTCTTTCTCGCACCCAATCAATGAGAGCTCCTGCAAAGAGCTGAAGTGCCATGGTAGGTGACAATGAGCACAAAGAAGACGTCAGGAAGCGGATGAGAGCAAATCAGATTTGAGAGCAAAATCTAGCAGTGGAAGAATCAAATGACATGGAAGTGACATCAACTACTGCAGGGACATGCATGAAAAATACCTTCAATGACAGAAGCCAGCAAATGAAGATCTTTTGTGAAACATTGCTCAGAAGTTGCATATTCAATTCTGACGTTCCAAGGAGATGAGATGTAGAGGTTCAGAATGCAGCAGATAAGAGGATGACCTGTCAGGAGTTCCAGATGCGTTGATAAGTGCATTTCTCCCAAGGAGAAAACAACACTCAAGAAAATAGAGAAGTCTGCAGAGGACCAAAAAAACCAAAAAAACCAATTTTCTGAGACTCCTAGGGAAATAAAGAAGTCTGCA